TGTAAAAGCCGGGGCGCGCACGGATCCGATGTATAACTAATGGCGGTAATAACGACACAATGGCGAGCGTGCTCGCGTTGATTTACTCTTCACGCTCGACTACGCCTTTGCTGCGAGTACGCCCACGAGCGCGTGAACGAGAGAGAGAAAGCCCGGCTGCACTTACCCCGGGAGAATCGAAGCAACGGCGCGAGGAAAAAACGCCACCGTTCGTAAATTATCGCCGATCGTTCACGCTCGATTGAAATAGAACCTTTATCGAAACCCGTCCGACGAAACGCTTCGCGTTAATTGCTAATTTCCATCCATTTGTCAGTGGAACGTCGCCACGCGTTAGATAGTTCGAAACCAGATTTCTCATTTGCATCTCGCAAATTCTCCCGACCAAACAGATTTACGAATAACTCACGTACACTCGATTTTGATTCAATTCTCGACTACGTCAATGTTATTGTTTTACTCAAGTATTACAACTCGTGGAACGTAGTACAGATCTTGAATACGATTGTTTCATAATGTTCTGCATATAAAGTACACAAAGCTCAATGTTATTCAGAGATAAATAATTCTGAGTCGAAGGTAATGAGCATTTCTGGTCGAGGGATTCCCTCGACAAATAATATCGAAATCTCCTCGATCTCTGGACAAATATTTGCAACTTCTGTTCATGTTACCAGGATAGGGAACGAGAACCTGCTAAAGTCTCCTTATCACGATACGAGCACTAATAAAAACAGATCTCCGACGAGGAATATGTATGAATGTTCATGACTCATTACAGTAACGAGGAAAACACGAGATATTGATGTTTGGTTAAAAGAAGAGTAAACACGATAGAGGATTTCATAAGCGAGTTTTCAAACGATGAATGATTTTCGATAAAAGTGATTACGCGATAAAATGGAAATGGGGAATAAGTGAAGTTTGATAACACGATAACGAAGATACCGATGCACTTCTCGAAACTCGTTCGCTCCGACATTCCAAACACAGCATTGTACCACTCGGTATTGTACGAGGAGCCACATTGGCAACTCCGAGGCATAAATGCAAAACGGTTGTCGCCTCGAGTCGCGATAAGGTACAGGGAACTAGCCATCAAGTATTGTTTCTAACTGCTGAGAAACACAACTCGCGTATCGGCATTTTTAATGCAGCTAAACGTGTATTAGGCGATAAGATAACTGGGTAACATACATAATTGATGCTCCGATAGAGTTACAAGATTTACGGTTCAAGCTTCAGTTCATCGGAAAATTTGAGACCACTCGGCAATCGTTGCAACTTTTTAGAGATTAAATTTTAAGCACGTATGTTTACACGTGACTCCCAGAGATTATAGAATTGCGCTGTAAATAAATTCGTCAGCGAACTCAGGCGAAACCGATTCATCTGAACATCTCAACTGCACGACGTACATAATAGTCCGGGCGCTCGTAACACAAAAAATGGAACAATTTTTTACAGTCTGCCATTGATAGGGGAAATATTTACAGCCACAAGCTGTAGATAGATGTACTTAAAAATCTTCGTTACGTGTTAATGCATACTTAAACATTAACTTTAGTTAGCAAAAAGAACGTAGTTTCTTGAAACAACTTTCAAACAGTCTGCCTTGTGAAATTTCGTCAATTTTACGCTAACATTAGCCTAAATTGAGCTTGGCAGATTGTAAAAAATTGTTCTTAGACGATTGTTCTTGTATGATTTAATTGCTAACTAACATAAGTACGCTTTATTCTTGTACTGAAGAAAACCATCTGCCAATAAACTTTTCATGGATTGCGCAATCTTGCCTTGTGCTCAAATAAATGGCAGACTGTTTGAAAGTTGTTTCAAGAAACTACGTTCTTTTTGCTAACTAAAGTTAATGTTTAACGAAGATTTTTAAGTACATCTATCTACAGCTTGTGGCTGTAAATATTTCCCCTATCAATGGCAGACTGTAAAAAATTGTTCCATTTTTTGTCTTACGAGCGCCCGGTCTATAAAGAAGGTATTCCAAAACCAGAGATGAAAAATCGAATCGAAGGATCTTCGCTCTAACGAAACGAAATTCTAGAGCCATAAATTGCGGTGGAGCAGCTTCCGGTTTCCGAATAGAGGCTGGATGCGACCGTGAAACGTGCATGATTGAGGGGTGGAGGAAAACTAGAAAGGGTGTCGATCGAGAAAATAATTCGTCGTCGACCGGACGGCCGAGGGGCGCCACAGGACTCGTTTCCGGTCGAACGAGTATTTATTTATCGAACCGTTTTGCCTCCTTTGTCACGGCGAACGGATCCCCGAAGGCGCGTGCAACCGGGCCAAGACGGCCAGGCGGAAGTGCAGGGTGTGGATTTTCGATGCGCGGAAATGGGGTAGCAACGGGAGCAAGGTGAAAAAAAAGACGAGGCGGCCCAGAGGGAGAAAGCAGAGAAAGAGAGAAGAGGAAATGACTGGTAACGCCGGGAGCAGCTGCTCCCGAGCCGAGCATTTTGCGAATTCCGCCGCGAGGCATTAAGAGGCCACCCTTCGTTCCCTTGCGACTCCGTCTCTCTCTCTCTCTCTCTCTCTTTTTCTCACTCATTCCGGCCTTTTCTTTTCACGTTTCCTTTTTCGGCGACACGTGAAAACGAGCAGGAGAGAAAGCTCGTGTCTTTATTCTCTTTTTGTTAAATAAAAACAGGAAAACGAGAGGTATAATAAACTGTTTTCTATTAAGTTAGAGAACGCATCCGACCGTCTTTTAATTTAGGTTTCAGTCTCGGCACGTATTGCACTTGCCACTGAAGAATGTTTACAAGGAAAGTGTACGTGC